ATACTCGACCCCAGCTCTTTAGAAAAACTGAGCCTAATGAGTAGCGCATTGTATTCAACTATGTTGTTAGAACACGGCTCAGTGAGTGAATAAGCTCAAGGTATTACATGTTTCTCCGGGGAAACTAAGACAACTCCAACTCCTGAGGAAAATTTAGAACCTCTGAGAGCACTTGCCACATTAGTTGCTCGGGAAGCACCATCGAAGTACAATTATCACACCTGCTGATGAGAGGTGGTGTTGACTTCGTAGGTTTCATCCAATAAATCTTCATATAATTCGGCTGCATCCGTTGTAGGGTTAACCGCTAGAAGATCACAAATTGCTTATCCTTTGATCGACTTTTGTTGCTTAAAGGGCATGTCATGTTGGGACAAAAGCAGGGCCCATCTTGCTAACCGCCAGTTCATGGATGCCGGTTGCATCATGAATACCCGAACTGGGCTAACGTTGGAAATAACGTAGATCGTCTATCCATTAAGGTAGTATCACATCTTTTGGATGGTGAACACCAAAGTGAGGCATTCTTTTTCAATCATTGTATACCGAGATTCGGCACTTACCAAAGTTTGATTTAGGTAATAGACAGCCTATTCATGATTGTTGTCATAGTCCTGTGCGAGTAAAGCACTTAACGAGTGGTTCATCGTCTTGACGTAAATCAATAATGGTTTACCCGACTTCGGTGTAACGAGAACAGGAGGATTTGCCAGATATGTTTTGATATCCTCGAAGGCCTTCTGACAAGCCTTATCCCAGATAAAAGGCACACCCTTCTTTGTGAGCTTGGAAAATAGTTGGCATCTCCCAGATAGGTTCGAGATAAACTGACGGATATAAACCAATTGCCCTTGCAATCCTCTGAGTTCTTTGAGGTTTCTCAGGGGTTGTAATTCATATATCGCCTTTACTTTGTCATGATCAATATGAATACCCTTTATGATGATAATGAATCTGAGGAATTTGCCGCTGGACATTCCTAGGAAAGACTTAATAGGATTCATCTTTAGTAATGACTCCGCATGAGATTCAACATTATTCTCAAGTCTTTAATGTGGTCATCTTTGTTGTGGCTTTTCACGACCAGGTCATCAACATAACATTCAACGGTCTTCCGGAGGTGTTCCTGGAAAATCTTCAACATTACTCATTGATAAGTGGCTCCTGCATTCTTCAATCTAAAAGGCATGATTGTGTAGCAGAAGACACCGAGGGGTATCCTGAATGCAGTATGCTTTTCGTCATCTGGGTATATCTTGATTTGATTATAACCCGAAAACCCATCCATGAAGGACATTCTCTCAAATCTGCACGTGTTGTCGATAATAACATCTATGATTGAAAGAAGGAAGTCGTCCTTTAGGCAAGTGGCGTTTAGGTCTCCAAAGTCGATATAGATTTCGATTTTTCTATTCTTTTTAAGAACCGAGATAATATTTGCTAGCCAGTCGGGGTGTTGATCTTCCCGGATAAAGCCTGAGTCAATTAATTTTTTGACTTCCGCCTCAATTGCCTCCATGATTTGTGGACAAAACCATCTCTGCTATTGCTTAACATGTTTGACATTCGGTTTGATGTTAAGACGATGCATCACCACGTTCGGGTTAAGTCCGGGCATGTCTTCGTAATTCCAGGCAAAGACGTCAATGTATTCTCTAATGAGGGCAATTAACTCTTCATTCTCTTATGGGGGAAGACTGTCACTGACGAATATGAGTTTTGGATTGGTCTTGTTGCCTATGTTGACCTGGACCATATTATCCTCGGTGGGAGATTCTCTTTGCTCGAACCGGGTCCCATACTGAATATTCAAGTGATAGATCCACAGGTCTTCCTAAGTTGACAGTTGATCGTCTTCCTTCATTGTGGTAGGATCGACTATGGTCATGTTCGACATTAGCCCTTTGAACATCTCTCTAGAGTCCCAACTTGAAGAATCTGATGATTACCTATCCTTATTTGCTAATTGATCGATGGCCTACTAGCAACATTCATCATCAGATGAAGAGACATAGCCTAAACCTCTTCTATAGACATAATAATTGTCAGGTTTTCCCTTTGGGACATAAACAGCTTTGGTCGGAACTCGAGGACCTCGGCCGAAACAAAGACCCTCCTAAGTGCGAAGTCATATCCCCATTTTCCCATGAGGTTACGTGCTTTTGGTCCATATTTGAGCAAGCGATGACCTAGTTTTTCATCATCACTATCTTCCTTTAAGAAGAGATTGGATGGTGGAGATGTTTCTCCTTTGCCGAAGACTATTTCTTTTTCACCCTCTGTCTTGGCTGGAAGGACAAGAGTTGATCCGAATGAATCTTGAATACACTTCTTCATCATGCAAGATGACCAAAGTAGCATATATATATATCAGGGTTATTATACAGCCCCTACATTATATTATCAAGACAATGCGAGTACTCTAAATCATTATTTATTACGTCTTCGGCAAGTTGCAAATTACAACTACCATCTGATGATTCTCCATCGTTATGATTAATTACAAAGGGTATAATATCATTTAATATAAAACTGCCATCATAATTAAGCCTAGCTTTGGTATCAGCTTCTTCTTCGCTGTTCGTACCTTGGGTCGATGGTTCAGTATCGGATTCAACACCGTAAAGAAGGAAGTCGGTAAAATAGTTTTCTAACCCCTAAAACAGTTGCTTATCCGCGACCACCATCTTGACCTCATTATTAGCATCTACATATTTGAGACACCGATGGAGGGTGGAGGGGACTATAACATTACTATGGATCTAAGGTCGACCTAATTGTATATATACGAAGTCTCTACGCCGATTACATAGCACATGACTTCGGACTTCAAATCTCCAAGCTGCCACTTCACTCGGATCTTACCCAATGGCTTCGATCCACTGGTATTGAATCCGTAGATAACAGTGCTTGTAGAAGCTAACTTACTAGTGAGGATTCTGAGATTGTACATTAATCGGAATGGTATGATGCTGACAGCGGAACCCGGATCGACTTGGATCCGGTTAACAACGCTTGAACCGATATATTCGGTGAAATACAAAGGCCTATCATGCTTTAAATTCCTCGTTTGCATGTCATCCTTGGTGAAGGTGATGCAAGGGATTTGTTTGGGTGTGAGGTTGCAATGCTGAACCAACGGCTCCGATTCTTCAGGGACTGACTTAATTTGAGTAAGAAACACATCAGAATCGGCCAAAGCTTCTTGTAAAGCCTCCCTGGTGTCTTTGGAAATATGCAATAACTCGTATAGAGTTATCCTCACTGGGATGTTAGCTAGTTGGGCTATAACATCGAAACAGTATGGTGCATTAGAAGTTCCCGGTTTATCTCTCCCAATCGATTGATTAAAACGAGACTGCTTCGGAACTTGACTCTCTTTATGCTGAGGCTCTCTCCCCTTATTGTTTGGATCAGAAGCTTTAGGGTATTTGTAGTGGTATTAGTTCCCACTTCTGGTGGCGAAGACCTCATGCTCATCCTCAGAAAGCGACAAAGTTGGGATTCTTTCATCATTTTCCTCCGAAATCGCTGTGGTGGCGCAGCAAGATTTTCATTTGCCCTTAGGCTTAGATTTCTTCTTAGAAGAGGACCCGTTCTACTATTCGTCTTTAAGCAGATCAGGATAGACCCAAAGAATTTTGCCATTAGGGGTCGTGTGTGGTGTGAGCCCTTTCTGGCATTTTCCATGAGGATCGTCATTAACGATCTTCATCTCCACCTTTGATACAGGCTCTGCTTGGAACCACAACACTGGGACAGAGTCAAAGATGATAGATATTGCATTAGCACCCACCTTCTTTTCCTTGGGCTATTTTGCAATGATGATGCTGACGTTGATTAATGCTTGAATTGTATCCTTGAGGGTGTAGCACATCTTGGTGGGGTGATGGACCCACCTATGGAAGGCACAGTATTTTGGGTCCGTAGTCTTCTTGTCTTCCTCATGATCGGTAATTGGAAGTAACTTGATCTTGTTATTTTCCAAGAGGTATTTGAAGATGGCAGGCACCTCATCTTTCTTGAAAGAATACTCATTCGGGAATTTTGGCTCAGAACTTTTCTACTGCCTTTGAGGTCGTTGTTGCCATTGGGACGACAACTGCTATGGCGTTTGCTTCTATAGTTACAATTGAAATGTTTGATTCGCATCTACGATGGCTACTAGCGCCTTCCCTCTTCCACGAGGAATGAAGTTTTACTGCGGAGGATTTGTTGCCGGTTGGCCCCTTTCAGCCTTCTTCCTCTTAAAGAAGCGCTCGGTTTGCTCACCACACACCTTCAATTCTTTCCAAGTTTTGGAGGGTGCTACTCCCATGGCTTCTAGCACATCCAAGGAGAGATTGTTGTGACACGTTTGAAGGATGAACTCCTCTGTGATCGGATCTCGGTAATTCATCGCCTTGTTCTGGAAGCGCTTGACGAAGTTATCGACCGATTCCCCGTCTTTCTGCTTCTCGTCGAAAAGTGTTCTGATTGACACCTCAGTGTCATCGTCGAAGAAGTTTGTGAGGAACATGCTCTCTATATCGTCCTAACTATTGATGCTCCCTAACTCGAGACAGCGGTACCACTCGATTGCGGCTCCATGAAGGGTGCCGACGAATGACCGGACCATCAAAGGTTCATTGCCAGAGATTATACCTAGGTAGGACTTGAAGTAAATTCGGTACTGAGTGGGTGAGCCTCTCCCGTCAAACGGTGTAAAGTTAATTAGATTGAACTTTGTCGGATATGGTTTGACTCCTACTCTCTTAGGTATGGACACAGTATGCCGGTCTTCTTCACCTCTTGAGCGGACATCAAGGCGTTGATTTTGCTCTCGAGTCCTTCATCTTCTTGTCTTCTCCCGTATTTTTCTTTGGGGATACTGAGAAGGTTGAGGAGACTCCATTGGACTATCCTTACGGTTATTGTTATTGGGAGGAGTATCAGCATCGATATTTTCATCCACTTCTGAGTCGTTGTCTACTTCATTAGTATTGTTGCAACGACTGGATTCACCCTGCTGATTTGAGAAGGACTAAAGTTGTTGGGCATGTAATTCTATCATGCACTACATTCAAATCCATTTCCATCTTTATTTCAGCTCTGAGCTCTTCTTTCTGCTTAGTTAGAGCGTTTTCGAGCTCTGAGCCCTGGTAGAACGCCTTTCGAACTCGTCCTGTGCTAGACACTGTGTTGTCGGAGATGATTGCAGAACAAGCATCCGATGTTTCATCATCTGAGGATAGCCCTCTCTGCATCCTTTGATAATCCCTACGTCTGTTAGTTCCGGAGCGCAGCCGAGTTAAATGCTGGGATATCAACTGTAAAGAGTCGAGACTGGAACATTGTGTTGACTTCCCTTTGTCGACTATGTTGATGGTGACTTCTATGAGCTCATCATCTTGAACAGCCGATCTTTCCTACGGAAGCGCAATGATTTGGATTTTGACGCTTCATTAGAAATCCTTTCAAATATCGAGACCCTCTGTAGAGTAGTCTTGGGGTAGCGACATTCTGATAATACTACCCTGATAAGCTTGGCATACGGACAGTAGGAATTCATTTCCCGAATACCTATCTTCTGAGACTTGTTTGTACCCCCAGCCCGATAATACAACTCATCAAAGTTATTATCGGAGCAGCTTGTCGGATGTCGGCATGACTTCCCAGGTATAATATTGCCATCATATGAGGAATATGTTTTCTTCCGGGGACATAACATCTTGTTAGTGTTCTCAAGAGTTACACGTTTGGAGCCATGACTTTGTGAGCGTGGAGCCTTAACGGGCTCCTGGACTTCGACTCGCGGTTCAATACAGTCGGTTACAGGAGCTTTTCCATTATGGTAGGTCTTCAACTTGTTGTGAGGGCATATGCAACCCCCAGTGCGATGAGTCACTCAGGGTTCATTCACCAGGCTCAACATTCTTTGATCGGAACTTTGCCTCGATCCTCGTGCAAAGGACCAAGGTGGTTCGCCATCGTCATCTTAAATCGGGAGAGATCTACGCTATCATGGGGCTTCACTAGAGGTACAGGCTCAACTGGGATAGGAGCGGAACTCGACGAAAGTGGAGAAATAGCCACGGGAGCCAGACTGGATCGACTCCG